ATTTAATAAACTTATATTATATTATGTATTTTAATATTTATTAATTTAAATTTTAAAAATTATATGTATTTAATTAAATTTATTATTTTAAATAGTTTAAATGATGATTTTCAAGTTGATCTTATGATGACTATTTCTTAGGAATAAAATGAAAGTAATATACAATAGTAAAACATAATAAATATGTCAAAAAATACTATTTTTTAGTTGATCGATTGAACCAATTAAGTGAACCGATTCAACCAAATCCAATGATCAAACCGAGTCAACCACTGAACTGGACCAAAAATACTGGTTTTATGGAACATGAGAAGGACAAAAAGAAACCATTTTACTCATATTATCATTTATTGGATTCCAAATTAGGGTATACCATAACCATTTCCAAACATTTTGGCGGTTTTTTCTTAAAATGAAGGGAACCGTTTTTCCTTTTGCTTTAAAAAAAAAAAAAAAAAACCGAAATGGAAATTAATGAGAGTTGAAATTTGAAAATAACTCTTGACAAAATTAGGCATACTTTAAAGTTTAAACACTCCCCTAGCTGCGCATGTACTTCGAAAACACCACAAAACCTTATTTATGGTAGGATGTCAAATGTTTAACTTGTCAAAGACAAAAGAAAAGTAGCCAGCTTGCGTGGGAAAAAAAAGACCCCACTTGCATACAAGTCTTGTTCTTTTTTTCTCTGCTATCTCTAGATCTAAAACCCCATCTAGGGAGTAATTTCTGGGTGTTTGAGCAGTCTAAACAACCCCAAAAGAAGTTTGCTCTGTTTTCTGTCAGGAAGAGAGATGGGGTTGGTGGGTGTCCCAGAAAATGGGAATGGAGATATGGGTGTTTCTCTGGGGAAGAAGAATAAGTACAGGAGAATGGATTCTGAGCTCTCAGAGGATTTTGATCATCAATTGGAGAGGAGTAGAATCACAAGGAAGTATGTTGTTGCCTATGCTGTGTTTGCATCTCTTAACAATGTTCTTCTTGGCTATGGTAATCTCTCTCTCTCTCTCTTCATCTCCTGAATGAAAGTTATAGTAAGATCTACTGTTGTTATTATTATCATTACCATGATTTGTGTTTGATCTGCTGGCGTTGATTGCTTGAAGGCTATTCTGTTTTCTTTCTAGGAAATAGGAAGACTGGATTTGTTGCTTGTTTCTTGTGATTTCTTTGCTGCCCAAAATTAGTGGCAAAAGGATAATGAATTTGCAGTCCAGGAATGTTTCAACATAATAAAGTTCATCAATATTGAAAAATAATAAAATTCCCTTTTTCTCTTACTCTGCATTTCTCAATTTTTTTCCCTTTCTATGCGGTTAATTTTCTGAACAAACAAGATTATGGACTTCAAAATATTGTCAAGTTTATTCTTTGAGTTTGTTGCTAAATCCAGACAAACGCTTGCTTTGTTCTATCAATTCATCATGCTTACTGTTTTCTTTGAAGGGGTGTGCTATTCCTAATATTTCTGTACTGTTTTCTTGTATGGGAAAGGCAATAGCAATGTAAGCTGTGGATTGTATAAGGGTTGGGTACCCCTTGTACCCAAGGAAATAAATTTTTGGCTTAT